GACCATGAACATGAAATTAACAGTATAGTGTACAGAAATTATTTCAGAACTCTATACACAACTAATTTCTTAAGGCTTGGGAAAGGCTTCAGAGGGGAAGCAATGGTTAGCTTGTTTTTGAAATCGGAATAGTAAATTGGTAGAGAGGGATTTGTGAGAGCTTCTCTATAAAGAGTAGGATATGCAAAGGGGCTGAGTTGATAAAGGGCATTTTATACATGATGTACATGCAGTTCCCTAAGGTGTGTATATGCATTATGAAAATTACACATATGCATGCATATATGCATATCACAACTGTATAAATATAGTTGCTGTTTGGGTTTTTTGTGTGGTGGGTATGACAGCCAATGTCCCTGATTAGCAGGGGTGTGGGTGCTGGAGAATAGTTATGCATGTGGCTAGAAATGTGAGTCCATAGAATCTTACTTTATCTTTGAACAGTAAGAAGCAGGACATGATGATCTAGAGGGTTTTGTTTTGTTTTGTTTTCAAAGGTGGGGGTGGATATTTTTGTTTTGTTTTGTTTCTTTTTTGAGACAATATCGCACTATGTAGCCTAGGCTGGCCTGGAGCTCATGATCCTCTTATCTCAGCCTCCCAAGGGCTAGGATTATAGGTGTATACCACCATACCCTGCAGTGATCTAGTTTTAAAAGGACTTATGTGGCCCCAACTACTCAGGAGGTGAAGAGAGGAAGACTGGGTTTGAGGACGACAGCCCAGGGAAAAAGTCAGTAAGAGCCTATCTCAAAAGCAAGCCAAGCATAGTGGTGCACACTTTAATCCCAGCTACTGGGTAGGCAGAGGTAGGAGGGTTGTAATCCAAGCAAAAGCATGAGACCCTATTTGAAAAACAAAGCATAAAGGGCTGGGGAGGAGGCTCAATTGGTAGAGTGCTTGGTACTTGCCCACCAAGCACAAGGCTCTGAGTTCAACCTCCAGTACTGAAAAAAAAAAACCAAGTACTTAAGTGGCAACAGTGTGGAGGAGAAAAATGGTGGAAGAATTAAAGACAAATGGAATAAATGATTAGAACCGGGAAAGTACAACCTAGAGGATTCTGCCTTTGTGGTTGAGAGGAGCGTCTACACAATCCTGAGTTTTTAATTCTTAAGATGACATTAGCTGAAATAGGAAATAGCAGGCTGAGTTCAAAGGATAAAGGGCTTAGAATGAATTTAACTTTCATATGCTTATAGTGAGGTGCTAAGAAAAGCTAAGTCAAAGGTGTGGTAAAGTCAAGGTTGGTGGCACAGGTCTGTAATCCTCATACTCAGGAAGCTGAGGCAGGAGAATCAGGAGCTCAAGGTCAGCTACGTAGTGAGACCCTGCCCCAGGAAAAACAAACTTCAGAATTAAACACACCTGTGTTTGAGTTTCATGTGACTTTGAAGTTACTCATCCTTTTGAACCTTGGTTTTCTCATTCTCCAAATGGGGTTAATATCTGATTATTATAATTAGGATTGTTTTACAACACATGCACACACACATTGCCTGGCACAATGTCATGTATTTTACTAAGTACTATTGTCCTTCACCTTCTAGGTCACTGTTTCTCAGTGTGGCCTGGGTCCACCTACACCAAAATTATCTTGAATGCTTGTTAAACAATGAAGCCTTTCCAGACCTAATGAATCAAATCACTGAGATGAAACTTGAAAATCTGAAATTTACCTATCTCTCTGTAGTTATGAGATGCATAACTTAGGTTAGTTAACCTATATGCAAAGACTTCTTTTAATTATACAACTGCTCACTATTTTTTTTTTTAGCACTTTCCCTTAGGTTAATAATTTGAAAACACCTCTCCTCATTCAAAAAGAACATGGCACTTCAAAGTGTATATCCAAAGTATTAATGGATGTTTCTCTAATTATTATTATTATTATTATTATTTCCTTGACACTCACTACCGTAGCCCAGGCTAACCTCAAACTCTCCAACCTGCTGCCTCAGACTCTCAAATACTGGGATTACAGGCTAATTTTTCTAATTCTTAAAGTGTAATTTCAGAGTAAACTAAGTGCTTTACAGATGGGTAAAGGATGCTAAAAACTAACCACTAATAAATGAATAAAAAAATTATTAGGAGCTAGGTGCTTAGTGGCTCATGCCTGTAATCCTAGCTACTTAGGAAGCAGAGATCAGCAGGATCCTGATCTGAGGCTGGCCGAAGCAGGGAGTTTGCAAGACCCTGGGTACAGTGGCACATGCCTGTCATCCCAAGCTACCCATGATGGAGGCTGAGATCAGGAGGATCACAGTTCTAGGCCAGTCTGGGCAAAAAAGTTTGTGAGACCCCATTTCAATGGAAAAAAGCTGGATGTGGTGTTGCATGTCTGTCATCCCAGCAACAGGAGGATGGTGGCCCAGGCTAGCCTGGGGAAAAAGTGAGACCCTATCTCCAAAATAACCAGAGCAGAAAGGGCTGGAGGCATGACTCAAGCAGTACAGCACCTTCCTGGCAAGTATAAAAAAAATTAGGGGCTTGAAGGTGTGGCTTAGTAATGGAACATGTGCATGAGGCCCTGCACTCAACCCCCCAGCACTAGAAAAGAAATTGACAAAATGCTAGAATTGATGCTTTAAAAAGATATTTTGGGGATGCAGCTCAGTGGTAGAACACTTGCCTTGCATGCATGAGAGTCTTGGTTCAATCTCTAGCACTGAAAAAAAATTTTTTTTGGTAAGGCTATTCCTTATTCTCAGAACCTAATAGAAGATATTAGGCAGGGGCATGTTTGGGGAATGCAGCTTTGAGGATGACAGTATTGTTTGTTCAGGATGACGTCCTGACAAGTCAAGAAAAGCACTTGTCCTCTCCCCATCAAGCACATTACCTTGAAACTCTAGCAGTTATTTGGTCGCAAAACTTGACACCATCACCATCTTCTTGCTACGCTCTCCCTAGACTATGCTAGTAACCAGTATCACAAAAACACAGTCACTTCGCAATGCTGTAATATACAACCAGATTAGGTTAGGAAGGACTCAACCAGGCTTAACCCATTATAATCGAAATAGGGCTGGAATGGACAGCTCTTTTGCCCAGCATGTGTCTTTTCACCTCAATCTTACTTTGGGGAACTACCTTCTTTCACTCTAGGCCATGTTAGGATTGTCAAAGCACCTGAAGTCATAGAATATGCAGATGATCCTGGCTAGGGTAAACAGGATGAGCACAATGATTTAATTTAAGACAGAAAATACAGGAGCTATTTTGATGGCAGGGCTTTAGGTCTGTCCCTCGGTTTCTCTAACCTAGATTCCTAAAGTTAGCCTAGTTTTATCCTTCCTCACACTGCTGGTCCAGCTTTTTCTTAGATTTTATAAGTTGTCTTCTGTCCTGATAAATTTTGATTTGCTGAAAATAGCCCAACTAAGTTTCTACTGTTTGTCTCACTGGATAGGTGGGCTTTGTCTCATGTGGGACAGAAATCAAATGGAGGGGGGGGGGAGGAAGAAGGTAAGGGACTATTAAGGAGGGGGTGAATTTGTTCAAAGCACACTGCACACATCTATGGAATTATCACTCCCTCCTACTATCAATATATGAGATTCTAAAAAATTCTGAAATCCCAAAAAAAGAAAGAAATCAAACAGTGACTCATTCTGAAGCAGAAGCAAGAGGTTTTACTGCATGAAAGAAGTATAGCAGGCTCTTCCACAGACAGAAAAGCCCAAGTAATAGGTATTCACAGAGTTAGCAGCAGGCTACCCCAGGGGTAGAGTAGCTCCTAACTTTCATGTTATGAGAAATGGTTTGAATACTCATTCCCTTTCTGAGAAAGGGTTTGAAGCGAGGCACTGGTGGCTCATACCTGTAATCCTAGGTACTCTCCAGAGGCAGAGGCCAGGAGGATCTGTTCAAGGCCAACCCAGGCAAAAAGTGATACTGTATCTGAAAAATGTACACACACACACACACACACACACACACACACACACACACACACACACAAAATAAGGCTAGTAGAATGGCTCAAGTGGTAGAGCGCTTGCTTAGCAAGTGTGAGGCCCTGAGTTTCCCCCAAAAGCAGGGGGAGGGTGAGTGGAATATTCATGCTGCTTTTAGGAAAGGTTGAGACCTTTAGTGAGCTTGTACTGTTTTGCACAGGGCCCAAAATATGCCTACAATTGTGTTTATCTCCTCACTTGGGGCCCATCTTCCACTATGATAATGAAGCAAAGTTTACCAATAGGCAAGGGTTTCTTCTTTTGGGTGCCTGCTCTAGCTTAGGGAAAGTTCTGACTGAGCCACCCCTCGACACACTTCCACCTGGTGATTACACATCTATTATCTAGTGGCTTGTGTCAGGGCAGATGCCTCTTTGTTTTTTGCAGTACTGGGGTTTTAACTCAGGGTTTTGCATTTGCAAAGCAGGTGCTCTACCACTTGAACCACGCCTCCAGTCCATTTTGTTCTGATTATTTTGGAGATGGGGTCTTGGGAACTATTTGCCCAGGCTGGCCTTGAATCCCAATCTTCCTGATCTCGGCCTTCTAAGTAACTAAGATTACAGGCATGGGCCACAGGTGTCTAGCCCTCTTGTGGTTTTTGATAGTTCCCTCCTCCACAGGTCCTTAAGCCCTATCCATTTTTCCTGCCTGTCACTCAATCCAAGAAGCCTGTCAGATATATTCACTAATGTAACTAATGTCACTGTCAACTCTTTCCTTAAATTAGAAAGCTGCAGTGGTTTTGTTTGCTTTTTTGATGGTAATGAGGCTAGAACCCAGGGCCTTGAGCACGCTAGGCAAGCACTCTACCACTGACCTATACCTCTACCCTCAGAAAAGCTGTAGCCTTTAACATCTTCATGTTTATTGTGGATCATATAAAAGAATTTTCAGAACGAAACATTTCATTTCTGCTAAAAACAATGGGGACCAAAAGACTTCAGTACACTGGTTTTAGTTTCCACTTTTTCAAACTTACACCAACTGAAAAATAGACAGTACACATATATACAGTAAGATTAGTCTTTCAAGATTTATTAAGCATAAATAAGAATGATAACTTAAAAAAAATACTTAGTTCTAAGACACAGAGAGAAATTATATCAGCCTATAAACATTTTGCAAATTCCTAGTCAAATCCCCATAAAACTGCTTTCCAAGGAAAACTGGCAAGTGAGATAGTGAAGTCTGTGCTTCCAGCTATGAAGAGTTAAACTGCATTCACTCTTTTACCTTCTTGTGAAAAACAATCTACTCTCAGAAACAGCGTAAGCATTGTTACGGCAGTCTAGCTCCCAAATGATAACATGGCTGAGTTACACTTCATTGTAATAACCCGCCTAAGAAGGCTTTGAAAACATGGATCGAAGTATTGATGCAAGTTTGAGATTATCTTAAGATGAAAAGTAGTGTAGGTCCTTAACCTCTTTTAAAAGGAGCATTGAAATTAAACTCTTCAGTTATACACAACCAAAACTTTTACTCAGTATTTCTTAAATATCAAATTTCTCTTCACAGATGCTATGTCCATTTTCTTCATAATCTTCTCTTGTTACCACCATATCTTCAAAATCATCATTCTCGGATATCAACTTTCCACCTTCCCAGGCATAAGTAATAGGGCTGAAAATAAGGGCAAAACAAATGAACCAGGAGAAATGAAAACTGAAATGCCAAAAACATTAATAACTAAAATGTTGCTTCCAAGTCCCACCCAACTTAATTTAAAGGAAAATCACTTAAGGTATAGAAATAAGCCTAAATTTCACATGAATAAGCCCAAAAGGAAAGGACTCTTACTCACCACTACAAAACAGTGTGCATGCATTTAGTTTTGTTTTGTTTTCTCTATGCCCATGGACCCTCTAACACAGTGAAAAAAACAAAACACAACCAAAAGACCAAGATGACTAAAAGGAAAAACAATGTCATAACTGAGTCTAACTTCTGTTTGTGGCAAAGATATGTCCTCTAATTAATTATCACAGCAACCCATGAAACAGCAATGACACCTCCCTTCAGAGACTGACTAGAAAATGAGGTTCAGAGAGTTACGCTGGAACCTGGATTTAACTCAGAATTGTTTTCACAGTCTGTGCTTTTACTGCTACACTTTGTCACCTTTAATAGATATTTACAAAATAATGTATGAAAATTGCACAGTAGGACATAGACAGTAGGTAAAATTAGAGCAGATAAAACAGTTAGTTTGGTTTTGCTATCTACAACCACAGTTATATTTTGTGTTATGACTCATTCTAATTCTACTGGTCCTCTTCCCTAATTCAGAGTTTCAAATCTAGAAAGGCAAAGAAAAAAAGTTAAAATGTTGTCCTTATTATGTTTACTGCACTTCTTAACCTTTTATAAAAATAAATAACTTTATATTTTATTGATGTATTTGTTTTTCAGACAACAAAAATATACATATGTAACAGCAATAGATGCAGATACAAGCTGTATCTGTGAATCCACTGGTTGATGATGTGTATATGGAAGTCAAAACTCAATATGCATTCTACTCTAAAAAGTATATGAATATTATTGCTGGGGGGAAAAAAATCATCTCTTATTCCTGTAGCCCATAGCTACTAAAAAAAAAAAAAAAAGTAGTAAAGCCAGGCGTGGTGGCACATGTCTGTCATCCCAGTACTCTGGAGGCTGAGACAGGAAGATCATGAGTTTGACAGAGGTGAGTGCCTTCTACTAACTGCTACTGTCTTTGAAAAATTCTACTTTAGGTTTAAATCAAAACTCTAAAATTAACTAGAGTCAGTCAGTATGTGGGATCTTGTATTCCAGCACTGACACTGACATCGGGGGTGGGTTACTTAGACGTATCTTTTGGTAAGAACCCCTGATTCAAGGTAAGAGAACTGGCCTTTAATCTGGTCACTACTACTAACTCACTATTTGCCAAGTCATGAGGTCTTGTTCATTTACAATGTAAGAACACTGGACAGGATGATCTGGAAGGCCTTACTACAGCTCTAAAATTCTCCCTTAATTTTTTTATTGCTAATGTGGAAATGATGATCTCTGCTTTTCCTCATAACTGGGCAGGAGGTAGCTATAACAGTTCTGTAGTTCTGGGGACTGGAGCAAAGGGCATCATGTACACCAGGCAAGTCTCTACTACTTCAGGTGTGCCCCTGCCTGATACAAGACAGTTTTAAATTTAAAAAAGTTGGGGGGGCTTGGTCTAATGTAAAAATTCACTGAAAACATTTTAAGTTTTGTGTGTGTGTGTGTGTGTGTGTGTGTGTGTGTGTGTATGTGTATGGTACTGGGGTTTGACCTCAAGACCTTAAGGTTGGCAGGCAGATGTTCTACCACTTGAGTCACACTCCCTTGCCCTTTTTCCTCTAATATTTTTGAAATAGGGTCTCACATTTTTGTCAGGGTGGGCCTGGACTCCAGTCCTTCTACTTATGCTTCCTACATAGCTGAGAATACAGGTATGCATCACCATGCTCAGCTTTTTTTGTTGAGATGGGGTTGTGCTTACTTTTTTGCAAGGCCTGACCCTGAACCATGATCCTCCCAATCTCTGCCTCCCAAGTAGCTGGGATTAAGATGTGAGCCACTGTGCCCAGCAAACATTTAGAATTTCTAAAAATTTCAAAGCAATTTATAAAACTGATGTAATTTCTTAATGGTTCAATATTTAAATTTCTGCTCTCAATAGAAACTCATGAAATGACACATCTCAAATAAATAAGATGAAAAATAACTTGAAGTGAGGATGGGGATGTGACTCAAGTGGTAGCATTTCTGCCTAGCAAGCAGGACACCCTGAGTTCAAACCCCAGCACCACCACCAAAACAAAGAAACAAACAAAAAAACCCAAAGGGGGGAAAAAAACTTGATTTCTTTGCCTATAAAAATCTGTAGGGATAAGAACTGATTTACTATCTAGAAGTAACCTTACGCTAACTGAGCAGTTATTATGTACCAAACACAGTGGGCACTTTATACTTCATCCTTTTAATTCACTGAAGCATAAGGCTTATCCTCTCAATTTCCGAGAGCAGGAAAATGGGGATTCAACAGGTGAGGTAAACATGCCAACGCAGCAGAAGCAAGCTTTCCCCTCGAGTCTTTGTGCAGACCGCCTGGGCTGTGAGATGACTCCATGTTTCAATAAACCAATACTTACTTTTCAGGCAGCACAACAGAGACGTCATAATCTGTTGGAGTGAGACACCGAACTTCTGAGTAAACCCGGTCTCTAAATCCCGGGAAAAGCGAATTTCCTCCTGTCAAAACAATGTTCTTAAAAAAATGTGGCTGCATTTCTTTAAAAGAAAAAAGGAGAAAAAGAAGGAAAAGAGCATTAGAAAAATCTATATTATCTTTCTGAAAAAACTTGGATGAGTGCTTGGGAAGAAACAGTTAGGGATTAGTGACAGGTTGGGAGACAATACAATATCTAGGTCCAAACTAAGATTTGTAATGAGGTTACAGTTTACACAAATGGAGACATTAAAAAGAGTGAAATATTCACTCACAGATCTTTTGTGCTTGTTTGTTTTGGTGGATCTGGGGTTTGAACTCAGAGCTTCAAACTTGCAAAGCAGGCACTCTACCACTTGAGCCACATCTCCAGTTCATTTTGCTCTGGTTATTTTGGAGATGGAATTCATGAACTATTTGCTTAGCCCGGCCTCAAACCACAATCCTCCTGATCTCAGTCTCCCAAGTAGCTAAGATTACAGGCATGAGCCGCAGTGCCCGCTTCTTTTTCTTTTTTTTAATGAAAATACATGGTATATCCTAGATTTCCTCCAATGCCTAGATTGTTACTTATAAACTAGGAAGACAAAATACAAAAAAAGTACTCTAAAACTCTAGAAACTTTATGTATTTACATCATGCTTCAGGAGAACCTAGAAGTCTCTCATAGCACTGTACACAAATCTCATTAAAATCAGGTCTCTATGTTAATCCAAATATTACAGAAATAATAAGCCAGTCCCACCAACTACTGAAAACCATTAAACTGTTAAACTACAAATTTCTATTCTGTGCAGATTTGAGCTAAGTGTTCACCAAGCACTGGGAAGATTAAGGCAGGAGGATCACAAGTTCAAGGCCAGTCTGAGCTACATAGTGAGACCCTGTCTCAAAAAAACAAAAGCTTTACTGAAACGAATACAGCAATTTAATACTCATGGGAAGGTATGTTTCTTCATGTTTAAGCAGACCATGATAACTGATTTAAAACATAACTCATAATCCAGAACAAATCAAGTAAGAATTACTTAAGTGCATGATGAGATCTGGAAATCTGTACAATAAAACAGACCCTATTGCCTGAAATTGTTTAGAAGACAACAGTGTTCTTAGAGCTTACAATTTTAAAAGAGCAGTATTCTTCAATATTTTACTGTACCTTCAGGTAAGTTTTGAATTGAATAGACAATAGCTTCTGGAATTCCCATTTCTTGAATGCCAATGTCTGAAGGATTAAAGAGTATTTCTGGAACAGCAAATCTCTCATTGGCCAGACGAAGAATCTGTTCCCCAGATTTATATTTTCCACTCAACACCATCTCTTCCCTTGGCTTAAAGAAAAATAAGACAAAAAAGTTTAAGCTACATTGTCTAGTTCACATAAGAATAATTAGTAATATGTAATTAACTAATACTAATGTATTAACCATGTTTGGGAAATTTCAGGAGTCTCAAAAGTTAGAAAAACATGACCTTCTCACCTATTGCCAAAACTACACAAGTAAAAAATTACTGAAGCTAGTATGGCTACCCCTCAAAAAGATAATCCAGCAGCTTTACTCCATACATTTTATAAAAAAGAAAGAAAAGGAGCATACAGGAAACTTCATCATCTACCTGAATGGTACACTGATTCCAATTTCTAAATAAAAAAGAGCAGACTTTAAATAAATAACATTTGCTATGTCCTGTGTTCCGACTACCACCTACTTTCATTCCCTTGCTGTTTATTGGACCCGTAGCTCCATTCTTGCTTCTATTCCTTGTGCAAAAGGCCTACATCTTTAAGATCTTTTACTATTTATTCACTCTATCAAAAAGCAATTTCCAAATGATAAAGCAAAGACATGGTCTTTATCACTGAAACTACCTTATAATGTGAATTTTGTATGAGATGTATACATACAACAAACTCTAAACCTGATCCATATTTTTTTGTTATCCATTCTGTCACCTGTATTACTGAAGGGTCAGAAAAAAGAGCTATCTTTCACAACATTCTACATCATTAAAGTAATGGTCTCTCCCTTTTGATTTTATAAAGAATCATCATCTCTTCTAGATTCAGTCATTCATTTCACCTGACTTACAGATACGGTTTTCTCCCACAACAGAGGATATCTCAGAACCTTATATAAGTATAAAATACTCAAAGTTTATGAAAAGAAATATTATTAAAGAATAATTATATAAGGAATATTACTGATTCCTTAATATAATCAATCACCTACTGAAATCTTTCTGGATTTTGGATTTGTCAGAGAGGTTTTTTCTCACTCCTAAATGAAAGGACCCCACTACTCTCTGCTATCACCCTATATTGCCCTTTACAACTTACATTGTCCACATCACATATCCACCACCTAATACTGCACAGTACGTAGAACACAAAAGGTATTCAATCAATTCTCAAATGGCACAAACCAGCAGTGTGCCATAACCCTGTAAGATATAAGATAGATGCATTTTCTATTCACTAATGCTACAATTGGGCCCAGCAAGGTTATGACTTGTTCAAGGTTATTCATATACTAACCCCCCCAAAAATCTGAAATATGACTTCCCTGTATTACCACTCATAACCTGGATATGAATGATTCAGGGTTTGTTTTTTGGGGTTTTTTTTGTTTCTTTTTTTTTTGGTGATATAGGGGTTTGAACTCAGGATCTCACACTTGGTAGGCAGGCAGCTTTACTACTTAAGCTACTCTGCTGCCCTCAGATTTCTGTAAGTTGGGGATTCCATGTTCATAACATTACTTTCAAATAAAAATTTCCTGGAAATTGTATAATATTCTAGGGAAAAGGAAATCTTTAAGTTACTTTTAACCCAATCAAATCACTGCTATAGTAACACAAGTATTATTATTCCTCACAGAACACATAGTCTTCCTTCTTAGGAAGAATGAAAAATACTTCCTGTAACTTTACAGGTTCATTTAAAACTGTCATGGCTGGGCACCGCTGGCTCACACCTGTAATCCTAGCTCCTCAGGAGGCAGAGATCAGGAGGACCACAGTTTGAAGCCAGCCCAGGCAAATAGTTTGAGACACCCTATCTTGAAAAACCCTTCACAAAAACAGGGCTGGTGAAGTGGCTCAAAGTGAAGGCTGAGTTCAAGCCCCAGTACCATACACACATACACACACAAAAAAAGACTGTCAATACCCTGAGTTTAAGGGACATAACTAATTTTGTCAACATTGAAAAACAAGCTGAGACAGAAGCAGACTTGGAGAACTTCAGCTGATAAAACATTAGAAGTTATCTAGTTTATAGCCCTAATTTACAGAAGATCATGTGACTGATCAAATATCTACCTAGGGTTAAGAGCTAGCACTAGATGCCCTTGATGAATGTCATCACTAAAGAAACTATTTGTTAATATGTAATCTGGTGCTACAAACTGTTGGGGGAAGGGGGCTAATTGGCCTTTTTTTTAGGCTGGCCTCAAATTCATGATCCTCCTACCTCAGCCTCCCAAGCACTAGAATTACAGGCCGGTACCACCATACCCAGCTTTACTTTCTGTTTTCTAAGAGTATAATTGCAAAAGCCTTTTTTTTGTGTGTGTGTGGTACTTGGGATCAGACACAGAGCCTTCTGCATGCTAGGCAAACACATAACCACTGAACTACATCCCCAGGCCAAAAAGCCTTTTTTTTTTTTTTAAAGACAGAAAAAAATGAAGGAACTCCTAAGGGCTGCCAGTGTTGCTATTTTATCAAAGTAGCCCATGATTACTACACAGTCCTCATAAATCTCCTTCTGGTACCACTAAAGAAATCATCTGTTTGTAATATAATGTTTCTACAGAAAGTGGTGGTAATCATTAATAATGACGGTAATGTTCTCGATTCTCAATTTACATCAAATGCATTATTCTAGTAGGCATCCTCTTTCTGATAAAAGACAAAACTGAAATTTCTATCAGTTGTCATCCTTAATAATCTTATAGGCCTTATTTCCTTATTTTTATTGTTATTATCATTGGCACTTTAAAAAAAAATCCAGGCCGCAACTTTTCCCAAGCATTTAAAGATAGTCTTTTTTTTTGGCAGGGGACAAAACTGGAGGTTGAACCCAGGGTCTCAGAGGCATGCAGTCTAGCACTTCAGTCATACTCCCAGCCCCCTCTCTGTGGGGGAAGAACTGAGATTTGAACTCATGGCCTCATGCTTGCTAGGCAGGTGCTCTACCACTTGAGCCACTCTACCAATCATGCATTTTGTTTCTGAGATAGGTTTTCACTAACTCTGCCCAGGCTGTCTTCAAACTCAAGATCCTCCTGCCTCTGCTTCCTGAGGAGCTGGGATTACAAGAGTGTACCACCATGTCTGGCTAAAAATATTCTTGAATAAACTATCGGAGTCCAAATTTTAACAATACCTTAAGCATAAAGGATGTTGAATATACTTTTTTCACTTTTCTTTATGTTTGTTTTTTCTATAGTACAAGGGAGGTTCACTGTGATAATTCCATAGATGCATATAGTGTACTATGAACAAGTTCATCCCCTCTATTATATTTCCTCAACTCCTGCCTCTCCCATCTTTTAAAACATGGTTTTGTGGGTATCCTTAAGCTATCGTCTTATTAATTATACACACACACACACACACACACACATGTATGTATGTATATATATAGTAACCTAGTTTGATCCTCTTCACACACCAATACCCTGCTTTTTACTAACTTAATAAATACTTCTTAGCTCTTATAAAAGGAATTGAATATCAAGTGACAAAGAATATAATCAAGTATTTAAAAAACTCAAAAAATATGTTTCAGGATTAGTCTTAGTATATATAGTTTCTTATTCATGATTTACCATGGATTATGAATAAAGTGTAAGTTTTAACATTAACTGACAAAGATTAAACGACTGCTTTTAAAATATACATTTGCTATAACATTCTATCATCTGGCAAGAGCCTAATTCTACAGACTTTGTAGCCTCATTTAGTATTAAAATTTACATTACATATGAGAATCAGTAACAAGAAGTCTATATTGAGTTAATGAAGTGCAATCTGTAACCGGATTCTGTTCACAAGGTCAAGGGCCAATAAAAAGAGCTGCAAAAACTCTTACATAGCTTTTGGTTTTTGTCCCAAAGACAATAGGTAAAATAATGGTCAACTGGGAGAGCTATCACAGCTCTGCTCTGACCCACTGCAAAAGGGGTTGGTTTGAGAAAATGGGTTTATGGGTCAGTTATCCTGTATTCAATTTTGATTTATATTTCATCTCTACAATCTGGCCAAAATATATGTATTTTTAATTTTAAAGTGCACTAAGTATAAATAATTACATAAAACACATGGATCAATCCACTTAATGCTACTTTACAAATAAATTAACACTCCCTTTTTAAATTCAGTGTTCACCACTCACACACACTGTCTCATACTTTCACTTCATATATACCAACTCTTAAATAACAAATTATTATTCTGTGTGTACCGAAGTAAGCATGCCTTACTAAGACTCGCTTTCAATTAAACGGAGTGTTTCTGGGATTCACCCATGCTGTTCATGTAACTCTACTTCACCTTTACCACTGCTTATTTTATAATATCAATTTATTAAAAATTTGTTCATTGTGCTTCTATTAGTAAATATGCAGGCTATTTCCAATTTTTCACTATTCTGCAATAAATACTACCATAACTTTCCCCTTATATTTCTTATTTATTTATTTAATTTTTTTTTTGGTGGGACTGGGGTTTGACTGCAGAGCTCTGAGCTTGCAAAGCAGGTGCTCTACCACTTGAGCCACACCTCCAGTCCTCCACTTTTATTTCTGACTGAAGATTTTTAACCTTCTAACAGGCAAACTTCACATTTATCCAAACACAGAACTGACTTTACTTGAGCTGTTCAAAGACAGGGTGGGATTACTGCATTTTGACAGCCAAGAGAAGCTGCTTCTCAGCAGTTTGAAAGTACACTGGATTTTGCCCTTTACAGCTACAAGCTGATCTTATCAGACAAACATGGCTAAAATTCAGTCCTGGGTCAGCTGTGTCAATAACAGGAATTTAACCAGTTTCTAACTGACTTTAAAACAATTTTGAAGTAAACAAAAGGGTTAGCCATAATATAGATTATGATCCTGTTTGTCACCAAGATTTACCCCAGGTTTTTTTTTTTTTTTGTCTTTTCTTTTTTGGTGCTGGGATCGAACCCAGGGTGTCACGCATGCTAGGCAAGCGCTGTACCACCGAGCTACACCCCAGCCCCTTACCCCAGGTTTTATCATTTGGCTGATAGTTCTTTTTCTCAATAAACTTTATGAGAAACTTATTAATCAAATTTATACACTCGTGCCTAGAGAAATGGCCACCAGGAAGACAGTCAGTAACAACTGTCTTAACGCCCTGTCAACCCCAGCTAGATGTGAGACACTTTCCAAATCTGACTGATGTGGTCACATGAAGAGATATTAATTATAGAGGATTTTAAAAATTACCTTACAAAAGCCCTTTTTAATTGTACTGAAGTCAGGCAAAACATAGTCTATCATTACTGTATTGTCTTCTCCTTTCAATCTGCAAAAGGAAAAATAGACATTAATGAAAAGTTTTAAATATGTGTAACATCACCTAAAAATCAACATTCTAATTTTTAGATTATCATTATACATACTTTGCAATATCCATGTCTCTGTAAAAATCCTGAGATACATAGCATACATCTTCTTTCACTTGATTAATTACATGTGTTTCATCCATAACATGTAACTGTCTAAGAGAAAAAAAAATTATAAAATTTAAAATGGAAAGAATTCAATATAACTTAACAATTATCATTTAAAATATTTTTCTGAAATGATATTTTCAGGTAACTGATTCTTGAAACATTAAATTCTGTTGGTGTTGTTTAGCAGGACTGGTGTTTGAACTCAGGCCAAACCTATAGCCCTTTTTGCTTTAGTTATTTTTCAGATAGGGTGTCTCCTTTTTTGACCAGCCAGTCTTGGAACCTGATCCTCCTACCTCTGCCTCCTGCCTAGCTGGGTCACAGGGGCAAGCCAGCATGTACATCTTATTTGTTGAGAAGGCGTCTTATTAACTTTTGCCCAAGCTGGCCTCAAACCATGATTCTCCAGATCTCTGCCCCCTGAGTAGCTGGGATCCACCACACCTGGCCAAAACATTAAATTCTCATATGTGTAAAATATTTTTAATTTCACAAAATACTCTCACTTTCATTTTCTTACTTAATCTCACGATTTCTCACAGGGAAGTAATTAGTCCAGTTTGTAGGTAAAGAAATTGAAAACAGAGGTATTATGTGATAAGGTTTATCTAACTAAAGAGCAAATTTTCCTCCATCCATTCCGAATAGATCTTCCTATAACATTTAATTCTTTATGCTGCCTTTTCTGATTATAGTTGTATAATAAATCAGCACACAATAACTAGTACATAGAAGATGTTTATTATTTGATTAATGTAGGAAAAATTTTAAGTGAGGTTATTTCCTTTGAATAATTTTCTGTGCAGATTTTATTGCATACTACATATTATGTTTCTTACTATTGTCCCTTGAACACTTTCTTGTGCTATTATTCTTTTAAAATGGTTGCTTTTCCTGCCATGTAAGAATTAGATGGTCCTATTAAAATGTACCTATCAATTTTCTAATGTTGAAATTTAGATGAGGGAGGATGGATACTTAGGTGCTTACTGACATGGACCTTGGAGTCAGAGACATCAGTTTGAATCACAACTTATTAGCCAAGTTGAGTCTTTGGGACTCAATCCCTTCAAATCTAAAAAGGTAATAAAGACTACCTACTAACTGAGCTCTAAGAAGTACATGATTGTAATAATACATGTGAAAGGTTTTAACATGCTCTCTGTACTCAGTGAACAAAAAATATTACTGCTTATTTTTGTGCAAAAAACATCATTGTATGCCATATTTCATTTTCTCTAAGGTACACCATTGTACTAATGAGAAGAAAAACTGCTAAATAAATTACAACAGTTCTAAGGTATCAAGGACTGGAAGATTTATCCCAATTTCAGAGATTAAAATGTGGGAATAAAAAGTGTAATCAGAACTGATGAGATACAGATTTTTTATCTGATTACCTTATTATTTATTCATACTCTGGAACACAAAATCAAATGATTTCAGTCTCTTGATAAATTGCCAAAGTGTTTACCAGCAGTTATTTGAAGTTATGCCCTGATCAGCAGCCAATAAAAATGCCTATATAACAAATCTGCAGCATCACCTTTCAAAAACATTGTATTACTTTAGAGTGCACAAATGGTATTTTAATTGGAATGTTCTCTACTGGGAAGTTAAGTGCCACAAGGAAGAGGAATTCTTGTCTGTTTGGGTCACTCATGTATCCCAAGATCCTAAATAAACATTCAGCAAGCATTTGTGGATGGAATCTGTGATTACTGTAGGAATTTAACATATTTCATGTCTGGGAGTTACCCATTTGTATCTCTTACCTATACATGACTCTCCAAGAATTATCTATTTGTGCCACTGAAGCCCCTCCCTTTTTTCCATGAGAATCATTTAAACATTTTATACTGGATTGATAAGCACTCTTAATATAATAAAGATAACAACAATGTTTGCTAGAGTTTGGATCAGGAATGTTCTCCAAAGGCCCATGTGTTAAATGCTTGATCCTCAGCTTAAGATGTGGGGCCTAGTGAAGAAAAGTCATTGGGGCTTGTCCTTGAAAGGTACTGGTAACCATCCCTGTTTCCTCTTTGCTTCCCAGCTGACAAGAATTGAACAGGCCTCTACCACATGCTTCCTCCATGAGGTACTGTGCTGCCATAGGTCCAAAGCAATAGGCCAAGAGATCCTTCTTCTTTAAGTTCATTATAGCAGGTATTACATTACACTAATGCTGAGCTGACTAACACAATGTAACATACTTGTTTCAATTTACTTCTCACAAGTTTATATTTACCTTAGTTTTGTTTTAAAGGCTTTTGACAGGATATAATGTTTAAAATTTTTACAGTTAAACATGAAAGCCAGGCACCGGTGGCTCACACCTATAATCCTAGCTACTCGGGAGGCAGAGATCAGGAGGATCGTGAAGGATATGTGGGAGGTGGGAATGAGGAGAGGACTGTTAATGGGTACAGGGGTGAAGGTGGATGAGGAATTTTTTTGTTTGCTTGTGTTTGCACTGCTGCAGGTGGAACCCAGGGCTTCATACATGCTGGCATATAAGCTCTATAACTGAGCTACAGCCCCAGTCCAGGAGAAATAAATTCTAATATTTATAGCACAGTAGGGTAACTTTAGTTGAAAACACTTGCATAATTCAAAATGACTCGTAGCGAGGATTCTGAATATTCTCAACACAAAGAAAGGATAAATGTCAGGTAACAGATATGCCAATTTTACCCTGACCTGATATTACACAATGTAAACATGTATTGAAATATCAACAATGTAACTCATAAAATGTACATTACTATCAGACAAAGGACTGATAACCAGAATATATAGGGAACTTAAAAAACTAAATTCTCCCAAAATTAATGAACCAATAAAGAAATGGGCAAGTGAACTAAACAGAACTTTCTCAAAAGAAGAAATTCAAATGGTGAATTTGAATGGAGCATGAAAAAATGCTCACCATCTCTAGCAATAAAGGAAATGCAAATTAAAACCACACTAAGATTCCACCTCACCCCTGTTAGAATAACCATCATTAGCAACACCACCAACAACAGGTGTTGGCGAGGATGCGGGGGAAAAAGGAACTCTTTTACACTGTTGGTGGGAATGTAATCTAGTATAACCACTCTGGAAAAAAATTTGGAGGCTACTTAAAAAGCTAGACATTGATCTACCATTTGATCCAGCAATACCACTCTTGGGGATATACCCAAAAGAATGTGACACAGGTTACTCCAGTGGCACCTGCACACCACCTATGTTTACTGCGGTACTATTCACAATAGCCAAGTTATGGAAACAGCCAAGATGCCCCAATACTGACAAATGGATCAAGAAAATGTGGTATCTATACACAATGGAATTTTATGCAGCCATGAAGAAGAACGAAATGTTATCATTCGCTGGTAAATGGATGGAATTGGAGAACATCATTCTGAGTGAGGTTAGCCTAGCCCAAAAGACCAAAAATCGTATGTTCTCCCTCATATGCGAACATTAGATCAAGGGCAAACACAACAAGGGGACTGAACATTGATCACAAGATAAAAGCGAGAGCCCACAAGAGAGATATGAGGATAGGTAAGACACCTAAAAAACTGGCTAGCATTTGTTGCCCTTAACGCAGAGAAATGAAAGCAGATACCTTAAAAGCAACTGAGGCTAATGGGAGAAGGGGACCAGGAACTAGAGAAAAGGTTAGATCAAAAAGAATTAACCTAGAAGGTAACACACATGCACAGGAAATTAATGTGAGTCAACTCCCTGTATAGCTATCCTTATCTCAACCAGCAAAAACCCTTGTTCCTTCCTATTGTTGCTTGTACTCTCTCTTCAACAAAATTAGAGATAAGGGCAAAATAGTTTCTGCCGGGTATCAAGGGGGTGGGGGCAGGGGGGAGAAATGACCCAAGCATTGTATGCACATATGAATAAAAAAAAATGTACATTACTATATGTGATCTCTAAATATATACACATATATTTCAACAAACATATCCATGTTGTTCGCCCATGTTCTGGTTACATGAGTGAATTCACTGTTTTGAAATTTCATTGAGTTAACATTCATGATTTGCATACTTTTTTTGTGTGCATGCATTTAACTCAACAACTTTTTAATAGTTGTGTTTCTGAATTAGCAAACATTAACAATACGAGGAAGATTTGCTGTGGTAATTCTATACCTGTGTACTTTGAACAAGCTCACACCTTCTATTATATTCTACTTCCCCCTCTTCAGTGTTTGGTGGGTTAATTCTCCCCTCAGTATTCTTTCCTTTCTCCCTCCCCATTCCTGTTGATCACCTCCCTGATCAAACCCTTTTCTCATTCATGCCTCATTATCGTCATTATCATCTTAGGTCTAGGATGAAGAAATGAGCAAGAACGTACGGTATTTGGCTTTTTTGAGCTTTGTTTATCTTACTCAACACCATGATCTCCAGTTCCATTCATTTTCCTGCAAATGACATAATTAATTTTTCTTTATGGCTAAATAATATTCTATGGTATATATGTATATGCATGTATGTATGTATTTGCACATATATATATAAATACAAAGAAAATTTGGTATATATGTGTGTATATACACATATATACGTATATATATATACACACATACATATATATATACACACACATACATATATATATATATATATATATATATATACACACACATATACCAAACTGCCTTGGTTTTTGGGCACCTCAGCTGATTGTGCCATTGTGCGTAGGAAAATAAATCATTTGTTATTTCTGCCACTGTTTTTATACTTAGTGCTCAATTAAATATTTTCTTATTGTAGATTTTATATGTCAGTCTTTCAGTTTGTTTTATTTTTTTCAGAGAGTCTCACTGTATAGCCCAGGATGGTCTGGAACTTACAATCCTCCTGCCTCCACCTCTCAAATGCTGGAATTATAGGCATGTTCCATCCTGCCTGCTCTGTAAGTTTTAAATCCTCTTGTCTCAACCTTCGCTCCCTTTCCAATTTGCTCCTTCTAATATTGGGTAGGGAATTAAATATACAAACGTACTGAAACCAAACCCAATTTTATTTGGTTCTGTTACAACATTCATGTGATCATGATGCTGTAAATGCTATTTATGGAGTTTGATATTTTTAGACAGACCACTTGAGCCACACCTCCCACCCATCCTTTTTCCTTTTTTATGTTGGTACTGCACTTTGAACTCAGGGCCTGTGCTTGCTAAAGCAGGCACTCCACCTAAAAGCTTACCATTCGCATTTATATGTTTTAGAATTGCCACCTGAAGTTACAACTAAACGTAAGGAAACTTTTTGAATTGCTGTAGAAGGTTCATTTCCAGCATGCCATCCTCCCAAACAAGCAAAGCCAAACCATACCTGTAAGATATGATCTCCTTTAGATGGTTCGTTAAGAGTTTTCCTCCCACATTTATCCTGAAAAGGGGAAATTCAAGTTTGGTTCAGTTATCACACATTTTATCCTAAGAAATAGGATGAAATAAGATGAAAATTAAATGCAACTCACCGAATAATTGCTTCTTTTTTCTTTTTACTTCTACAATAAGGAACTATATGTGTAAAAGAATAACCACTATCTACAATGATACAGCATAATTCAGAAGGATTATCTCGGAAATACCTATGTGCACTGAGAGCCCCAGCTATTAAAAAAAAAAAAGAACATATTAAGTAAATGGATACCATTAATTAAAGCAATAAATAAAAGCATGAAGACAAAGTTTTTCCTTTTAATTACAAGAAAAATATCCATTCATAGTAATACTATAGCTGTTACAAGAGCTATAATTTTTGTTTTGCTTTTAGTTTTTTTGTGTGTATGTGTGTGTGTGGCTCTGGGGTTTGAACTCAGAGCCTCACACTTGCTAGGCAAATGCTCTACCACCTAAGCCACACACCCAAGCCTTTTCTGCTTTAGTTATTTTAGTGTCTAATAGTTGCAATTAGTGCTTTAGTTATTTTAGTATATTAGTTATAATACTGTCTCATGTTGTTGGGGCCAGCCTCAGTCTGTGAGTCCCTTCCCACAGCCTCCCATGAAGCTAGGATGACAGGTGTCTATCACCACACATAGCTTATTGATTGAGATGAAGATTCACAAACCTTTTGCCAAGGCTAGCCTCAAACCTTGATTCTCCCAACCTGTCTCCTGAGCAACTTGGATTAAAGGTATAAAACATAGCATGCCTGGTTGCTATACTGTTTAAACTTTCAAAACTCATATGTGATAAATAAACATTTGTGATCAGTTTTTAAAGGTAAATTTCACAGTTCATACCAATTATTACAATAGCAGATAATTTTCCCTGAGCATTTACGTGCCGGGCCCTATTCTAAACTCTGTATAATTTTGGGCATGTTTTAATATGCCCATAATTTTAATTATGTTTTATAGATGAGGAACCTGAAGCACACCAAAGCTATACATATATGCATAAATAAGACACATGTTCCTTTTTTTGTGGTACTGGGGCTTGAACTCAGGGCCTCTACCTTGAGCAATTCCATCAGTTCTTTTTTTGTGATGGGTTTTTTCAAGATAGGGTCTCATGAACTATTTGCTCAGGCTGGCTTTGAACCATGACCTTCCTGATCTCTGCCTCCTGAGTAGCTAGGATTACAGGCGTGAGCTACCAGCACATAGTTTTTTTTAGTTTTGTTTTTTTGCTTTTTTTTTTTTTTGGCAGTGGATGGAACCAAGGGCCAACAAAGTTAAATAATATGCCCAAGACCACATAATTAGGAGGAAGCAGAACAAGACAGTGTAGCTTTGGAGCAGGGTTTCTCAGCCTGAGAACACTATCATTTTGGGTGCATCACTCCTTTGTTGGGGCTTCCTATGCACTACAGCACCATGGCTTTTACCCACTGGATACCAGCAGGCCCCTCCCAGTTCTAACAACTAAAATGTCTCCTGCATTGCCAAACATCCCCTGGGGAGCAAAATCACCACTGTCTGACAATATTTCTAGAAATTATGTTTTTGGGGGGTGATAATGGGGTGTGAACTTAGGCCTTCTGCTTGCTAAGCAGGTGGTCAGCCCCCAGCCCGAGATTATGCTGTTAACCATTTAGGTCTACATGACTCAAATTCTGTAAAGTAATTATTTAAATATTTTCATTTTATACAATCAGGTAATGTAATTCTCATCTTTAATAAACTTACTTCTAGATGATATTTACAGATTGTTTTCATTCATATTGGCAACCTAAGTGATTAACAATAGTAATAATGGTAAACACATTAATGAGAGCAAAGTAACTAATTTAGAATAATCTTTCAGACATTAGAAATAATGCGGTTGATAACTTCATTCTGGAGAAATATCATTTAGTAAAAAGACAAACTAAGAGAGGCCAGAATATACAATCTCTAAGGGTCCATCTAATTTTACAATTCCAAGTTTTATTTCCTTCAGACCCAAAAACTGCCACTTAGTATTGGGGATTTGAAGTTTCTTTACCTCATTTATATTTATATCCATATTCCTATAATTCAGTTTGAATGAAAACTTTAACTCACCATTTACTCTTAATACTGCTTGGAACTGGTATTCTTCAAATAGAATTTCATTCATTGATTCTTGAATTGAAGTGAAGTTAAAATATGGTTCTGTGATAATAATATTAGTATCTAAAAAGTCAACCTATAGGAGAAAAAAAAAAAAAACCCAAAAGTTTCCATATTCTATACATTTCAGTTTGAATGAAAACTTTAACTCACCATTTACTCTTAATACTGCTTGGAACTGGTATTCTTCAAATAGAATTTCATTCATTGATTCTTGAATTGAAGTGAAGTTAAAATATGGTTCTGTGATAATAATATTAGTATCTAAAAAGTCAACCTATAGGAGAAAAAAAAAACCCAAAAGTTTTGTAATTTTTAGTGCTTAACACCAACAGTTGTTTTGCACAAACAAAATTATTTAATCCCCACAATAATCCTAATGATTATTATCTCAATTTAATAGAAAAGCAAACTGAGGCACAGAGAAGTTATGTTATCCAGGTTCATTCAGCTACTTGGGGGCCCAGCTAGGATTTGAACCCAGGGAGTCTGGTTACAAAAATCTATGCATTTAACTTCTATGCAATTATCTCTCTCTTAATGGTAGTATTAATAAAATGGAACTATCAAATTGTTAAAGACAACAAAAATAAGAAATGATGTAACCATAAGTAATAGTCACTATTATTTTGTTTTTAAAAGGAAAAAGCCAAAAAGCTTCAATATATCTTTTTGTTTTTTGAAGAATTTTTATATACAGAAAACTCAACAGTGTATATATAAACTAGTTTAATGGTAGTTCTATCTTTTGCTTTCTCCAGTTTAACAATTCAAGCAACAGATTTTGGACCCAGGACATGGCCTCTCCAGTGATGGTGGACCTCGTCTATTATTGCCTATTTGCTTCCTTGTTTGTTGATACTGGGATTTGAATTCAGAGCCTTGTATTTGCTAAGCAGGAGCTCTACCACTTGAGCCACATTCCCAGTCCTTTGTGCTTTACTTTTTTTTCAAATAGGGTCTCACTTTATGCCCTGACTGGTATGGTCCATATCTTCCTATCTATGCTTCCTGCATAGCAGGGAGGACAGACACATGCTACCGGGTCCTGTATTTATTGGTTGAGATGGGATCTTATGAATTTTTTTGCCCAGGCTGGCCTCAAACTGTGATGGTCCCTATCTCCAACTCCCAGAGTAGCTAAGAACACAGGCATGAGCCACCATGCCCAGCTCATCATGTCTTTTTAAAAATTTTCCTCCATTCCCCTTTTATGTCTTTTAATTGGTCCTGACAGCATCCACCAGCTTAGCCAGAGCTCCTTTGTCTTCTTAATTAAGTTGTGGGAAGGTGATACTGGTGCAGGTCTTCTGGTGGACTAACCTTCCAAGTCTGGATTTTCCCATGACAATGCATCTTAAGACACAGGCTCAGCAAGATTCATGCCATCAGCAGTCACAAGCTGAGCCTTCTAATTCTCAACCAAAGTGGTGACAATATTAACCCTGCTCAGAGGACAGGGGGTCTTTTAGTGGGGACATTCCCTTTGCAGGCAGACTTCTTGGCTCAGGTCAGTAAGTCTGCTTCTTCTCTTGCTTTGTTTCTGATCTGTATTCGTGGTCCAGCTTAAGGAATCAAGTAGCAATTTGGTGGTGCAAAGCCTGGATGAACTGATAAATCGAAAGAGGCAGTTTCAGTCACCTTGAGGATAGCCCTTTGCTACTGCAGACATGTAGTGGGACCATTTGACAAAGTGGGTGAGGTCCCTTTGGGGTTGGATCCTACGCAAAGGCAAACTGATTAGGCCTTTTCTCAAATGGGATTGACCACCTTCTTGGCATCCTGCTTCTTCATGACAGCAGCATCCGCGGCCTCCCTTCTCTTTGGGCTTCTCTCTTTTCAGCATCTTGGGCAGAAGTTGAAGACAGTTCTCCAACATACTTGAGACATATTAAAATGTGAACATTCTCTCAGTGTATCTATCGTCATGCTACAGGCATTGAAAGCACATAATCCTCTTGTACTATCCACACATTCAGATATGTCGGAAAAGGAGTATCATACTGAATTTGTCTAACAGTAGAAAACTCCAGCTGGCTATGGAGCTCAGTGGTAGAGTGCTTGCCTACCATGCATAAGGCTCTGGGCTGGATTCCCCAGCCCTGAGGAAAAAAGTAGAAACCTGATATAAGATTTTAACCTTAATTTTCATATTGACTAGCTCTACACCACATATTCTTTACATGGAGATTCTATTCATGTGCATTTATTAAATATTTAGAAAATCAAATCCAAGCAAAGCTATATTTAAGTGACTTAAATATGTATTAGAAACATGCTTTGTTTGTAGGTCTTCAAATATAAATTCTAATTTTTCATTTGAATTAGACACAGAAAGAGAATTTGAATACATACTCTAATTTGTTACCTGATACATTTCTTTTCCAAAAAGGTAGTCCCAAACTTGTCGTTGAACATCCCAATTCACCAGGTAGCCCTAACAATATTGCAAATAAGCTTGATTATTAAGAGCACTTGAGTTTAAAAAAAGGGGAGGGGGTGGATAACAAAGAATAATAAAGAGGGTAAATTTGATCAAAGTACATTATAGAAATGTCACAATGAAACACCTGTGTATAATTAAAATATGCTGAGGAAAAAGGAGTATTTGAACAGTTCTTAAAATTTAGATTGATATATATATTCTAAATCACTAAATTCTAGTTTTTAATGGTTATCTTTTCTAGTCTAATGCTGTATGACCTTCAAACCAATTATACTGGTGTTTTTCTCCTTTTAAAAGTTCAAAAATTTACTTGGGAGACTGAAATAGGAGACTGAATTTTGAAATGGTTCAAAGTCAACCTGTGCAAAAGCTAGTGGGACCCTATTTCAAAAACAAAGCTGGTGTGGAGGTGCTTAACTATAATCCTAGCTACTCAGAAGGCAGAGGTAAAAGAATCATGGTTCAAGGTCAGTTGGGAAAAAGTGCAAAACCCTATCTTAATAACAAAGTAAAGCAAAAAACATTTGGGCGGGGGTTGGGTGGTTCAAGTGCTAGAACACTTGCCTAGCAAACACAGGTCCTGAATTCAAACCCAATACCACAAAAAAAAAAGTTCAAAAACTTAAAAAATTGGGCTGAGGTGTGACTCAAGTGGTCAAGTGCCTGCTTAGCAAGCACAGGCCTAAGTTCAAACCCTAGTAAACCCAAAAAACCCCAAAACCTAGGATTAGAGGTGTGGCTCCAGCAGTAGAGCACCTGCTTTGCAAGCATCAAGCCCTGAGCTGAAACCCCAGTCCCACAAAAAAAAAAAAAAAAAACTTAAGTTAACAATAATTAAGATGTCCATGGGCTATTCGAGGCCAGCCGGAGCAAATAGCTCATGAGACTCCATTTTCAAAATAGCAAGACCAAAATAAACGGGCAGTGTGCCTACTTTGCAAGCACAAAGCCCTGAGTTCAAACTCTACTCCCACAAAAAAAAAAAAAAGATGCTAACAGTTCAAAAGACACATCAATATATAAGAATGCTTCTTTATATTTTTCTTTTAAATTTATGCATGCACCTATATTTAACATAAGTAAAACTGAATGTTCCCAATCAATAACAAAATCATAGTTATTTGTTTTACTAAAGCAATGTAATCTCAATTTGAGGTTATAATTACATCTTAGGTAAAATTTAAATCAACTTTTCTCAGAGATCTAAAAATATTTTCATACATATGCTAGTTTTATATACACAATTAAAAATGATCTTTAAATGTAGGTTCATGACTGAGGATGAGGATGTAGCTCAGAGGCTGTGTGCTTGCCTATTCAGCTCAAGGCCCTGGGTTCAATCCCCAGTACCACCAAAACAAAAACCTTTTGAATAACATTACCTTTTGAAAAGGAAGTATGTAAAAGAGTCCTGAAGGGTCTTTTATTTCATCGATCTGGTTAGCAGTAAAAGTTTTAAGACGAGCTGTTTTTGACCGGAACTGACAATTAGGAATAACCCTAGAAACAAAGAAACAATTAATATAATTATCCTGTAAACATTTAGTTCCTAAAAATACCTTCACTTAATCATTACCAAAAATGTAGTTTATATAGCCAGGTGCTGGTGGCTCACACCTCTAATTCTAGCTACTCAGGAAGCAGAGATCAGGAAGGAGAGAGGTTCGAGGCTAGCCAGGGCAAACAGTGCATGAGACCCTATCTTGAAAATACCCAACAAAATAAAGAGCTGGCGGAGTGGCTCAAGTGGTAGAGTGCCTGCCTAGCAGCATGAGGCCTAGAGTTCAAACCTCAGTACCACCACCAAAAGAAAAAAAATTGTAGCATATATAAAACTATTGTTTCTCACTATCTTCATTCAAGTAATTTAAAAATGTCTTTATTTTTTAAAGTTTCTAGTATTTAACAGATCATATTCTGGACCTTTATCTTTCTCAAATAATTTTCAGGATGAGAGCCAGCATTTTGGTAAAGGTCCAAGTCTTTCTGGATTTAATGCAGAAATTTTTTTTTTTTTGAGATAGTGTCTCATGAACTATTGGCTGGCTTTGAACTGTGATCCTCCTGATCTCTGCCTCCTGAGTAGCTAGGATTACACACATGTGCCACCAGCACTTAGCTAATGCAGAAACTCTTAACACCATTCTGGTAAAAGATTCACAAGTTCAAAATTATGGCATAAAATCAAGTTTCCATGAAGCCAAAGATTTTCAAGCACTAGAATGCCATATGATACAGAAGTAAGAATTACTTTAAATATGGCTGCTGCCCACAATGAGCTTACAGTCTAGGCAGGAAGACAAATTACATCTATTATCATACACATATATGTGGAGCATGCATGCACTTGCAGACACACATACACACACCACACACACACCATGACACTGGGATAATAAAAATGTTTTGTACCTGCTTATTTTACTTACTATACTATCAGCATTTTCTCTGTATGTTTAAATATTCTTTGAGGAAATAATTTTAATAAGTTGTATTGGCCAGGCACACTGACAGGTATCTATAATCTGCTATTTAGGAAGCTGAGGCAGGATAGCTTGAGCCTGGAGGCTAGCCTGAACAAAATAAACAAAAGCTGGAGGGTGTAGCTCAGTAGTACAGCACAAGTGCCAGGACCTGAGTTTCATCCCTAGGACCACAAATGAAATGACAGCATTGCTGTCAATCTCATGGTTACATTATAATGTACTTAGCCAGCTTGCTATTCTTGATTATTTAGCTTGCTTCCCCCCGCCCCCCCCCGCTTTTTGGGTTTTTTTTTGCTAACTGTACACAATGTCTAACAACCTTATACTTATTCTTTTCAAGTATCTCTAGATAGGTTTTTAAGTGATAACAGAATTGCTATCAAAATATATGAACAAAGATACACATTGCTACCAGGTGCTGGAGGGCTCATGCCTGTAATCCTAAATACTTGGGAGGCCAAGATTGGGAGGATCACAGTTCAAGGCCATCCAGGGCAACTAGCTCACAAGACCCAACTCCAAAATAACCAGAGCAAGCTAGGAATCAGTGGCTCACATCTGTAATCCTAGCTTCTCAGAAGGCAGAGATCAGGAGGACTGCAGTTCAAAGCTAGTCCAAGGCAAACAGGGTGAAGGACCTGAGTTTCAACGCCCAGTATCAAAAAAAAAGAAAATGTATAGCTACAAGCACACGACACACACACCACGACAAACCGAGGCTGGCTAAGTGTGAGAGTGCGCGGTGCCTAGCAAACATGAGTCCTGGGGTTCAAACCCCAGTACCACTACAACCAGAGCAAAATGGACTGGAGGTCTGGCTCAAGCAGTAGAGCGCCTGCTTTGCAAGTATGAAGCCCTGAGTTCAAAATCCGATCCCACCAAAAAAAGTGAGGCAGGACCAGGCAAGGTGATGCACACCCATAATTGGGAAAACAGAGGTTTGCAATTTAGTTTAGGCAAAAAAGTTGGCAAGACTCCATCTCACAAAGCCAGGTGTGAAATTACAGCTCACACCCGTAATTCCAGTTACAAGGAGCGAGTAGTAGAGATGTGTCTAAGCCAGCACCTGACAAAGTGTAATACCTTATCTGAAAAATAACTAAAGCAAAAAAGGCTATGCGTGGCTTAAATGGTGGAATGCCTGCCTACCAAGTGCCAGGT